ATATTTGAATTTGAAATTAGTTTTGAGTAATGAAAAATATAGTAGTAATAAATGCAGACAAGAGTTCTATGATGTGCACTGAGACTTCAATGATGTTTGTTTTGTTATTTTTCTGCCTACATTGGCTGCAGTTCAGCTGAACTGATAATTGCAGGTTCTATTCCCTGAGCTGCTATCCCTCAATATCCTCATAATCTCTCAGACAAAATTGTACCATCCCTCTGAAGTGTTTGCTTGGATCATAGGCCTCTAAAGATACAAAATCGAATGGCACAGCTCCTCTAGACATTTGCTAAGCTTGTGACCTCTAACTTGAAGTTTTTCAGCACAAGCCCAGATGCTATTTCACAGCAGAGTTGCAGATACAGAAGACTACACACCAAGATTATTTCCAGGGTGTGGACATTAGGACAATGTTCTTGATGTTTGACTGAAGTTCTTATCTGAATATCTGGCCAGGGTATAATGAGGAGGTGCACCGTTTCAGCTAGCTCCTCTGGAATTGTCTAGAGCAGTATAGTCCTAAACTGGTTTTAGGGTGGTGTTTGCTAGTTCAAAGACATCAAGTTGAATCCAGTGGAATTGATGAAGTGGGGCCCCATCTTCTTTCTGGAGAATTCAAAGATTGCTGTTTTGAGGGTTTTTTTTTTTTTTTTTTTTTTTTTTTTTTTTTTTTTTTTGGTTACTGTGGAAGACTTAAACATTGACATCAACACAGAAGGTTTAACATTAATAATTAAGCATATGGGGAAGGGGAACATGTTATTGGGTGAAAACGAATTTACATGGGAAACAAGTGACTGTCGCTCCAGTCCCAAGGATGCAGACCCTGCCATCCTAAAGCTCTCCACACCCAGAAGGGGCATTCTGAGCCTCAGTTCATTCCTTTTAACCAGTTACATCTGCACCTGTGACCATGCCGAAATGTGCATGGTTAGCACTACAGGTGTGAGGTAAATATCTCACTACAATGATATGCTAATCAGTCCTTTTCTTTCACCATGTAGCACCAAATCCAGTTACTTAAATACCATCTTACTCAACTTACTCCTTTATTTTGAAATGTTTGCATATATTAACACTTAAATTAAGAATTGTGACATAGAATATACAGTTTTCTAAAGGTGCACATATTTGAAGGATATGACCCAACAAAGAGGCTCAATAATTATGGAAAAATTAATTAGATGGAATTATCCCTAGTGAAGGGTCACAGATCACTAGATATATTAAAAGTGGTAGAGGATATATTGGAGAATGGAAATAATTTTTCAAAATTGTGAGAAAATAGTAAATATTGATGACGTGTTCCTCACAGTGCTGTCTGCTGGCTAATTTTTCAACATTAATCTTAAACAAAAATGTTTGTTGCTATTACAAATAGTTATACACTTTAGCTTAGAACAGACTATACTGTTCTAAATTTCAGGCATATGGTATTGTGCCCCACAATTATGAAGTGGCACACTTGTGTCAACTACTCCCAACAAAGAAGTTTGTAGCATTTCCATAAGAACAAACTGGCTGCTCCTACCCAGTTTAATCTCATGAAACTAGAATGCTCAAAAGATGAAATGCAGCCGGGTGTTGGTCGTGCACACCTTTAATACCAAGCCCTCAGGAGGCAGAGGCAGGTGGATCTCACCTACCCAGTTTAATCTCATGAAACTAAATAGAATGCTCAAAAGATGAAATGCAGCCGGGTGTTGGTGGTGCACACCTTTAATACCAAGCCCTCAGGAGGCAGAGGCAGGTGGATCTCTATGAGTTAGAGGCCAGCCTGATCTCCAGAGCGAGTGCCATGATAGGCTCCAAAGCTACACAGAGAAACCCTGTCTCGAAAAACCAAAAAATAAATAAATAATGAAATGCAAGTGGCCTCCTCATTGACATCCATGTTCAGGGATCTGGATCTGTCCTGTGCTGGCCTCCCAGACATCATTCTGGGGTCCATTGCTCGCCCTTGTACAGGTCAGCTGCCTGGAGGTATAGCTCAGCAGTTAAAGGCTAGGCTCACAACCAAAACATTCTCCTATTTTTCTGTGTCTTCCTTAAACTCCCTGAATTCTTTAATGAAGTTTATGGTTTATCTTGTATGTTATTAGTCCTGGGGCTCATGTAGGAAATGCCCATTGGTAATTATTTCTACATATAAATAGGTGTGTTGAAAAATACTGGCTTGATCTTTCATGTTGTTGGTATATTTACAATGATATTTGGGCATGTGGATTTTTTATTTATTTATACTTTTGATATGGTCAGAACATATTAGGGCAGAATGTAGGATTATTGAGCAGGTTGAGAGCCTAGAAGTTGAAAACATCTTGGGTGGAATAAATTCAAGGGGACAGAAGGGACTGACATGATGTTCATGAGTTGTTCTACTGTCCAAGCCTGAAGTAAAGGGACACACACCACAGTGTGTGTGTGTGTGTGTGTGTGTGTGTGTGTGTGTGTGTGTGTGTGTGTGTGTGT